CAATTGGCAGGAGTAGACCTACGTCGAGTAAAGCCATTCCCCATTCGTTTAATGTGTGCGTCTCAACTTCATGAGGACATGAAAAGTTCTTTGTGATATCGCGAACCGATTAATTAACAAAACCTTTACAAACAATCAAAAAGTCAGACATAACCGATTAACTCTAAAATAAAAGCTATTCTATAAGGCCTATACCCTACATGTTCCGTCACGAACTCAGAGCAGCATCAGGGGTACAACAACATTCTTTAAAACCAGAGAATGTTATAAGTATGTCGTAATTATATTTAAAAAAACCGGACTTCAAACATTTTAATTTTAATCGATGTTCTTGACTAGGCCGTCTTGTCTTGCTGGCACGTTGTTCAACCTGCATAATGACCTGTTGTAAGATAATCAATTTCTCGTCTTCACCGGTGAGAAGATTCCTATTTCATAATTTACACTTTTTCTTTCGCGAAAATGTCACTCTTACTTCTCTCTTTTAAAATTGGAAATTAATACAACGGCTGCAAAAATTATGTTACTAAATACATTATACCTGTGTTTCTCGTGTCTATAAAATCTATTCCGGCAGTGCATCGAACAGAAAATTCACAATTTCTGAACTGAACATGTTTTGTTTCAAAGGCCTCCAACCTATCTTCACTTCCTAATATCTGCGAGTATATATACCAGTCTTGTATTCACGGCTTATGTCATTGTACGTCCAAGTGGCGGCAATCGGAATTGCGTGATCCGGCAAGCCGGTGTAGGCGGGGTCGAGGAACGTGCAGACACAGAATCGAGAGGCGGTGCCTGCCCCCGGCGGCAGTATGAGTAGACTCAATGGCGCTACGCTATACGTTTGCCATACATTCATATCCGCGTTCAGGAACATTACAAAGCACAGTGTTTGGCAATCATAGAGTTTCCGCCTTACAAAAAACCCCGGGCAATGATTCACCTACGAGAAATGTAATCACGTACGGTATTTCCTTTACGTCACTAGTCCAACTACCTCTGCAACAGGCGTCTAGATTCATCCTGTTTCGACAACATCAGATCTTCACAACTGTGTAAACTAGCAGGCTTTTCTTTAAATATAATTTGGTTCAATGCTCTGCTCTTTTAAGGTTCGGTGATTTCTTTTAGTTAAGAAAAGGCATTGACTTTTAGAGGCTTTTTCGCTACAAAAAAAGTGTATTTTATTGCAAGTTGCTTTAGGACTGTTTTAACACATTTGGTACTGACCTGAAAGAGGAATGGTTATAAAGGTTTGTAATAATGATTTAATATTATCATGAGAGTACTTTATTAGCAAATTGCCAACTGACCAGATCAAACACGTTTACGACGATTAGGAGTCTGGCCCTAAATTAGCCTAAAAGAAAAAGGAAAGAGCATTTAACGGGAGAAGTCAGATCCGACAGTTAAGGACAGAGGCACTATTCCTCATGATAACCCCAGCAAATTCCTACAGCAGCTACCAGTCGCTCAGCTGGTGAAGAAATTTCTCGCCTTTATGCTACAAGAAGGTGGTTTACCGTCTTCATGTTCTAAGCCAGATATTTTATTCCACTTGAAGCAAAATGCACTTAATTTACTTAATATCGAAAGACAGATGTGTTTCAGTATCCTTTGGACCACTACTGTTGCCACTTTCAATAGTTCACTCACATATCAGAAGAATCTGATTCCCTGCGTACATTAAAATGACAAAGTCTGCATCTGCGGTAGATTTAATGTGCTCGTTGTCTATGAAAGTCGTACGCCTTACGCGTATGAGAACAGAACGAAGAACGAAGAGATATGAACATTGATCTTCATCGGAGTCGACAACTATACACGCCAGGAAACCGTTCCTAGTTGTTCTGACGCCGGACAGTCCGACTTCACAAAGCCTGCATTCGAAGACCTTACGTAACCTGAGAACATCAAGGATGAGACGACATTTCAGACACAATCATGCACGCGGCGTCCAAATGACGGCTCTCATACAAGGACTTCGATTACGATAATAATGACAATTCAACTCAATTAAGTCTTTTGTTATTAGTGTGTTGAAGCACTAGCCACATGGCAATTTACAGATAAAACACAGGACCGTAAAAGCGTACAGAGTACAGCTTTACTGCGGGGGGGACGGAGGAGACCAAGATATACAAGTCTGTTGAGTAACAAACTGACTGCATGAGCACCAAAACCTCGTCTAAACGTGGGGGAAATCACCGCCTCTGCCAAGAATCGAACCCCAGTCGTCTAGACAGTGGCCAATCACTTTATGTACTGCGGTAACTCAAATAATTCAATTCTTTATTATTAGCGTGCTGTATCAACAGCCATAATAATAATAATTTTAGTCGTATTTGACATGACGAGTTGCTTAATCAGTCAAAGTGGTCGAGAAATAACACAGTGTTCTTTTATTTTGACTTTCATAAAACGCTACAAATGATCCACGACAGCTCGACTAGTAAACCCTAAGGATGAATGAATATCGGCTGGACAACCAGAGTTCTTTTCCAGGCTGGGTCGGGATTCTTACCATCGACATCGTCCAGACTAGCTGCACGGTCTAACCTTATACCCAATACACAACGAAGAACTTTTTCACTCGAGTAAAGCATAAGACGCCTGAAAGCGGCCAATCCTCTTCATCCAAATATTTAATCGAAATCATCACATAGTTTCGGATAAGAAACATGCATACAGATCTCCCCATTATGTGTTCATTTCATGCACTTCGTCTAAATAATGCATAAACACGACATAAGGACGGAAGATAGACCCTGCGTGTTTCTTTCTAACTTCATGTAAAGAACGCGTAGAGAATCCGCGATTAAGATAAATGGACTGACACGTAACGACCCCAAAATATGCCTTTTATTTCCACCCCGAGTCGACAAAACCGACCACATCACGGGGGCGGTTGCCTTCAGAGTTAACGATGTTCATGGTTGGTTCTCACGTCCTTCTGCCTTCATAAACGAGACAACAAGGAACTTGGCTGTTGCGGCTAGGAATAAATCTCAAAACGTTATAAAGTGGGGTCTCCCCGTCGCACCGCGGGCTTCCTCTCATCTTTCGGCGTCTTTCAACCCAAATTCATCTCACTTCACAGGGTTAATTAAGTGGCAGGTGGTGTGCGAAGCCTGACACACCTCAGACACTAATTAGCAGTCTCTTTTCTCTGTCTTCCCCTCCACCCCCACCCCCAAAATCCGAGTACATGAGTCACTGTGAGATGACCGAACTGCATGGAGTCAGAAATATCCATATAAAATAATATCTTAAAACGGCGGTAACAATTAAAAATTGCATTCACAAAGAAATTAAGATGAGGATGAACTGAGGAAATACTTGCTACAATTTAAAAAGCCTGTCATTCCGTTCGCTATAAATAAAAAGCAAAGACTAAAATATATACGGTTACTAACATGAACGGAAGAGCACAGACTGAGGGTGTTTTAAAGCAGGGTTTGGAACTAAGAATGACGAAGTGACATGAGGCTGTAGAAAATTTCATACCATCCCCCCAAAACAAAATTCGACGAAGAGTAGAAATTTGAAGCTCTCTACGGCAGTGTCGCCAGCTTCTTCTTCTCTCTTACATCTAAATATTCTTTTCATCAATGTATAATGAATGTTGTGAATTAAAAATAACGCAACCACGTACAAGACCACAAGGCATCACAACCTATAAGACCACGACAAACGAAGTTTTCATAAAACACGTTTTCCTTTAAATACGTGTCGGAAGTACGAAGTTAATTGTCCTCCTATACCCCTGTATGAGATTTCAGTGACGGCCGTGAGTTGGTTGATGACTGGGTGCTACATGAACTAGGTATCCGGGGCTCAATGTGTTAAAATAGTTTGGGTTATGTATTTGTGTATTGATTGAAATACTACTTCCAGTGAACGACTACAGTTATACCCAAGAGATGGCAGTGCTCTTCAATGAAGTTGCCGACTATGTGGAATGTCCAGGAAGTTCGTGTTCTTATATCCCTTAACGTCCTCTTTGAGAAGCTAACAGTAGCTCAGCTAATCAAAAAATTCCCCAACTTTTATGGGACCAAAAAGTTCATTACCTTGTTCAAAACATCCAGTTTTATAGCCTATTCTTCTTAAACCAAAAAAGAAAAACCAGCACGGAAATAGTTGTAACAAAAGAAACGACATACTAAGTTCGTTTCTAAAACATAGAAGGTATTACACAGGCAACGAGAAATACAAATCGAAAATTCCGATCCTGAAATGCAAAAATTAGGTCACATTACATTAACCAGCGCGATAAACTTTTAAGACCTTACGTTTTCTGACAGTGACTTAGAGGAAATCAAAGTCAAGTTCATACCAAAATTGAACATATTCAATGCAATTTATGCTTAAAAGTACGTAGGTGTGAAAGGATTCAGGGACATACATGGTTAAATAAGTTATAAACTACAAAGTGAAAATATTTTCCAAAACGTAATACATGGTCACAGGGCTAATCTGAACATGGTACCCACAGCAGTAAAACCAGAAATAATACGATAGGCTGGACATGTATGACAGACGGAGAGACAAGAAACGTACAAATAATTTAGTGGAAACATCTTAGAAGACGACCAATTATAAAACTATGACAGCGACAAGATGATAACATTAAAATGGATCTTAAGAAAGGTACTGTCAATGTACGTTTGAATACGTGTCGAAAACAATAGCAGAAATTTCTGTCAGTAGCGTTAAACATTTCTATTATAAAACTATAATTTTTAAGAATTAGTCAAATAAGGAAACAAAGTAAGAAGAAAGTTGAAGAGTACAACATTTCACAAATAAGCTCGTTGATCATAACATTAATTCTGAGGTGACTTTAAAGTACTCTACCACGAAAGCCGATCGGTGTTCTGACCACAGTGAGTGTACGTACAAAACTTCTACAAAGTTCTAAAAGTGCTTCAGTTCCAACCAAAGAACAGAATGTAATTTCATGCAGTGTCAACATAAAATAAATCGATACTTACTCAAAGAGTTCGATAAATGGACATGACTGTGACAATCTTCAGTTGCATGTCTCTTCATCTCGAGCCGTGCACCTGTAAAACACACACACAAACACAATCATCATTAAGTCACTGTTGACACAAAATGCAGGACGTTCATCGACCACTGTCCATTAGCACTGTCGTGTGCTCATACTAATTTCTGGTCTCTCTCTTTCTCCAATACGGGCCTCATATTCTGGCCATTGGACTTGTTTAATTGAATTCAAATTAACAGATCGAAACATAAACAGACGGTGCTAATTAGAGCTCTACATTATGACAATTAATAAACGTGGATTTAAACGGAAAGACATATTGGATACAATAATAGGGTATATTTGTGCAATCTAACAGCCGCAAAACATATCAGGTTCAATCGAAACCTTTCAATGGATTAAAATGAATATACCTAAAACAGTACTGATGTGGTCTAAACTAAAATATGGCAAGTTTCAATCATGTTTAATACAATTTACATGTGTAAATTCATACGAAAACCTGTAATAAAACTCCTGCACGTAAGCATTCATTTAGGCATATTTACGTTTAAGTAAACAGGTCTTTAAAATGATCCAAACTAAACGTAAATCAAAACGGCTCGACAAAATTTTGAGTAATCCTGTATTACCGAGTCTGACCGAAATCGACCATGGTGTAAGAACCGTGTTACATACGGACGACATGACGAAACTAAATAGATGGTTTTAGACGGGTTACGAAACTAAATAGATGGTTTTAGACGGTTTTTGTTTTTGTTTTTCGAAACACAACAAATAAACAGCTTGGAAGACGGCGAGGAAGACAAGCAGAGTGAAAAAGTACGAAGCTTAATCTCCTATATAGGCTGGCTACTGATTACGATCCGGCCTCATATTGAAACACACTTCTCTTCCTTCAACTGCTTCCATCCATCTGTTAGCTCGCCTCAAGGGAATTGAAGACAGATTCCGTTGCCGTTCAAATAATCCATCTCTCCGGTGAAGCACAAACTGGTTGCATACAATCCCATGTTCATCTCATCACCATTTAATTCCAAAACCCTTGTACCCAGCACACAAGAATTACACTCACAAATCTACATTCCAGTTCCAAGCATCTCCAGTCTGGAATTGCTCTCATTACTACAAACGGCGATCCACAAAAGAAGACTCACAGCACAAGAAACGAAATAGTTTCTGTGAGCCAAGACAATTGTGCCAAGCAGTCTGGTGCAACGGCCATGTTCCACATTGTATTCGGGAGTGGTGCCAGGTTCGAATCTCGGCTATCCTTACTGAAGGTTTTGCGTGGTTTTCCTCGGTTTCCCCAGACACTCCATGAGACACACTTAAAAACAACCCAATTCATTCCACATTCAAACTTCCTATTTAAGGTACACTTTAATATTACCATTCAATTTACGCTTATGTCTCTAAACGTCTCTCTACACTTTAATATTACCATTCAATTTACACGTATGACTTTAAAAGTCTCTTTACTTCACGATCTTCGACCAAAATGTATTGGTCACCTCATATACGCTACAGTTAAAGTCCTATGGTGCTGGGGGACAGTCAAAGGGGCCTGTTAGAGGCCAAAACCCATAGCAATAACACAATTATAAGTCTCGCAGTGATAAAATCAAGCTATTAAGTAGACACCTATGTCAGTAACCTACCCATTTGCAGTCGATTTTTACGACAAACGTTCAATATTAAATAATGTTAACGGTAATCCTTAAACAGCTTCTAAAACTGTCATAAAAACTAAATGCTCGTGTAAAATTTAATCTATTTAGTGTAGACAGTTTGCACTTTCTTTCAGTTTCAATCGACGTGTACTTGGTACAATATGTGTAATGAGCATATTAATCCAGCTAGACTGCAGCTTCCGGTGGCATCAACAGGACTTAGATACGTTTCCTATGCAGCGTTTGTGTGAAATACATACAAAGAATGCATAATGGACACACAAGAACATTCGACGGCGAAATTTACATCCAGAACTAACCAATGTCATTTTATAATAATACTGTGTGGATTAAAAATTTGAGAGACCAAGTTTCAGACGCACAGAAAACGATAAGTAAATTTATAGTCTGTATATTTTAGTCCACCACGCGAAGAAATTCGAAGACCAAGTTTATGCAAAAACAGTAGTCCTGGGGAGGGGGATTAGTACTGAAGGTTTTTCTTTTAATAAAACAGACAAATCGATTGCAGAATAGCAAACCGACATCTCAATTTAGTGCCAGAAAATAAATTAAAACATTTCTTTTACTGTAGAAACAGAAGCTTTACTGCAGAGTCCTTCCATGCAATAAAACCTAAAGCATCGTTCGGTCTGCCCTTTTCGCAATGGAATGCGCTTTACCTAGGCGTATAAAACGCCCTCAGGCTGCCACGTTCACTGTTGTTTCCAAAGCAATCCATTAGATTACACAAATAATTGAAGAGGAAGTGATGCACTGTGGCCCCCCCCCTCCCCGCAATCCCCCTACATTAGCCATCGGGTAGGCTAAAACCACGGTCTCCGACAATTAAGCCGAACATTCTTTTAAAAAAAAGTTCTGCAGATTTGCCCCTTGTTCTACACTGCTTTATAATTCTTATGTGTTTTCTTCCATTACTTTTTCCTTGTTGAATGGTGAGTTATTTAATGGTTCACACACAAGAAATGTACCGCCACGGTGGTCTAGCGGTTAGAACGCTGGCCTTGTAGTCCTGGGGTCTCGGGTTCGATTCCCGGCGGTGCCCGAATTTATAACTTGTGTTGGGCAAGGCCGTGGTCTAGGCAACACGGAGATTTCCTCCGGGGGCTTCCCCGGTTTCTCCGTGGCATCCCAACAATTACTCCATTCACACACAGAAGAAGGCAATGGCAAACCACTTCTGGATCATCTGCCAAGAACGTATATGAACAGGTCCCAGTCCGAGAAAAGGATGGAAGGATCCTGTTCATATGGACCTGTCGTCAGACAGAACACTAATAATAATAATAATAATAATAATAATAATGACTTATGAGTTATGACGGCAACACGCCTGAAGTTTTTGGCTGCTTGTGGACCAATTAAACAATTCATAATAATAATAATAATAATAATAAACAAAACAAATGCGTTGGACTACACGTCCGCGCTGCCAAACGCGTGTATAAATGCAAATTCAAAAGGTTTTTTTTTTCGATTCAGAATACGTCATTTCATTTGACACTGACTTCATCGGACTACAGTGACACCGAAAGCTCTTTCGTATCAGAAAGGAAACGCACAAAAATTTAGCATTCAGTGAGGGTATGCTTTTAAACCCGGCAACAAGAAAGCTAATGAAGAATAAAAACTTGGTGTCAAGTAGGAAACGCTGGAAGACAGCCAGGAGGTGACGTGAAGAGAGCTGGTGTCCTCCTTCAGCTGTCCTCGAGGGAGCACCATTGCTACTTGTAACACCGTGTCTATTCCCACCTCGCCTTCGCTACCATGACTTTTCGATTCCTCTAACAGAATGTTCACAGTATTTGCTAGTGATCTAGGGGCCTCTAGACGGGGCGTGTAGTACTCACATCAGAAATGCATACATTTTGGTTCTGAAATACGTAAATACATCTTCGATGTTTGCCTTCTGCTTTGTGACGTGGTGTGGACTTGTAGGTAGATACGGACGTTTCGGAGCAGCATATTGACTCCAACATCATCTCAGCCCTCATGATGGACGCAGTATGTTCATCCGAAACTTTGGTATGTACTTACAAGTCTACACGGAGTCACAACCCAGAAGACCACTATCAACATCTACACCGTCTCGATGACCGGAAATCTTACAAGAAAAGAGAACTCTTGGGAGACCCTGAGGTACAATGGAGTACAACAGGCCTGTTACAGAAATATGCTGTGAAACCAAGGATTGGATTTAACTGGCTCAGGAGTGGGTCCAACTGTGGCTTTTATGAACAGACTTCTGAACCTTAAGGTTCCGTAACGGCAATCCTTAGAATCCTTAGGATCATGGAAGGTGGCGTGTTGTGGAATTAGTGGATCGAACCTTCGAGTTCTGCCCCCAGAGTTTCAGAACATAAATTTATCAAAATATAAAGGCTCACATTTGATGAAGTCCAGGCTAAATACTCAACTCAGACGTCAACATCGGTAAACAACCTCAGCGCTGAATCTAGTTTGTTGAACAACGCATACAACGTGAGCCCGGGAAGAGAGGATTTTAACATCGCTTCCACATCAAAGTTTCATGCTACTGATAGCAGCATTAAATAAATGGCACATAAAAGAGTCGCTTTTCTAGAAATGCCATTACATTGATGTGCTTTTACAAGATACTAAACCGCACAACTTCCCATGTCATTTCAATAACTGTTCCACCTTTTGGGAAGAAAATATTCTGGCTCACGAAGCTGCAGATATCACATCAAAACACTACTTATAAGAACACTTTATTGACTTCACAATCTGAAAAGCTTCCGCTTCGAACAAATCCGCATGATTTGCTGCCTAAAAATAATGGCATAGCATCTTAATGTGAAGCTGAAACAATTCACTTCGAGCTACCCCAAACTACCCTTGTTAAGACAGAATGTGTAACTGGCAAGATTACGGTCTGTTAGGATAAAATACTGTGATAGTAAAGTGTGGGACAGAGGCGATGGGAGGGTTTATCTCAATCAGTGTCAGGCTCCTTGCTGTCAAATCACATCATCAGAACCTGTTAGGGCGCAACGCACTGCGGTCCAGAAGTTCGCAGGCAATCTCAAGAAGTGGGAGTTAAAAGTGGGAACCTAGTAGAGATAACGTACTTCTTGTCGTTCACGATCACTTCCCATCGTGTCTACCGAGCTCTAAGTAACGACAGTACGAAACTATACGGCCACATCAAACCACAAAACTTTGCGGGAGAAAAAACATATAAAGCAACTTGTTTTGAAAGCTTCCATCTGTTATGAAGGAAGTACAAAAGTAGTAAATCCAAAGAAGTTAAAAGATGTGACCTCTTTGAAGTACACATATTTTAAAAAATAAATTATCTGCGTTGCTAAAAAAACTCACTCGCTTATATCAAATAAAT